ACTCTCTAAATTGATTTTGAGCCTCCTGTCCCAGAAGACCCTGAAGGGAGATGGAGTTAATCCTATATCCGTTGCGCCTCTCGAATCTTTTTGCTGGGCTGGAGATTAAATGTAATGAGAATTCAGGAAACTAAATTAGAGAATGACAGACGAGGGCATTCCATGCCTGGTCTTCTTCTGGAAATAAAAAAAAAAAGGTGGGGGAGAGGAGGAAGAAAGAAAATTCAGAGAAGAAAATGGCATGTCCTACCCATAGAGAGAAAGCTCATAGACAGATGAACATTCAAAACAGCCAACCACAGAACCAAGGGCTAGAGTCCAGCACACTTGGAATTGGATTCTGTCTAGTGCAGAGGCTCTCAGATTGTGGGTTGAGACCCCCTTGGCAAGTCTCTGTCTCCAAAAGTATTTACATTGCAATTCATAGCAGCAGGAGGAAGAAAAATTGTTTGTTAAGAGGGGGGGGGGGGGGGGGGGTCACCACAGCATTAGGAAGGTTGGAAGTCACTGGTCTAGTGAGTGAGCTGACAATCACCCTCCAGCCCTTGGTGGCTTTAAGGGAAAGTGTTGTGTTTGCTCTTAGTATTTAAAGGGAGATGGGCCTGTCAAGGCTTGGATAAAGCAGGTATCACCTAAAACTCAAGTGACTTTTGCTCACTGTTTCAGTCAGAGACAGTGTCTACAGCCTGCTCCTGTCCTCACACACTGGGTTAAGCTGAGAGCAGGTGTGAACCAGCCTGGGCATGTACACTGGTGAGCATGTATTTAACATAGCTCAGTGGCCAGCAGAATGGTATTTTTAGCTTTAAAACAAAATATGCTTTTTTGGGGGGAGGGGCAGTCTAGCATCCACTTCCAATGACAGACGAAACACAGTGCTGTCTGATCACACATGAGAATAGCTGGGAGAGCTAAACACCAGTTGCTGTGACTTCCTGTCCTCGGTGTCAACACTTCTTCCATCATTTTGTTGTGTTTCTTCCAGGATAGTCTGACCTAGCCCTAGCTGACCTGGAACTAGCTATACAGCCCAGGCTAGACTTGAATTTTTGATGAACCTCCTGCCCTTGCTTTCTGGAGTGCTAAAATCATGGGTGTGGGCCATGATACCCTGCCTTGGCACCTCTCCTATCCCTCAACTGTGTTTGTGAGAAGGAAAGCCCTGGAGAATTTCAGCCAAGGGCAGTGTGCTGAATGGAGTCTAGATTTTAGAAAAAGTATCTGATTCGAATGGAGATCTAGCACCTTCACCCCATAGGAAAACCAAATGGGTTTTCTTAGGAATAGATGGGGAGTAGGTTTTAGGATGTTAAGGTCTCCATCACTTAGAAAAACAAATAGGCTTGAGAGAATGGGGAGAGGGTGGGAGGAAAGTCAGGCACGGTGGCACACATCTGTCATCCCAGCACTTGGGAAGAATCATGAGTTCAGGACTAACCTCTATTGTATATCAAATTCAAGGCCACATTGGGCTACCTGTGACCTTGTCTAGAAGAAAAGGAAGAGGAATAGGGAGTGGCCGGAGGAAGACAGACAGTGAGAAACACATGTAGGGGTTTGTGAGGGTTATGTTGGGAGAGGGAAGAGACAGATAAATAAGCAAGACAAATGAAATAAATAAAATGGATGGTGGTTAGTTTAATTGTCAGCTTGACACACTCCAGAATATTATCTTGGGAAGGGTCTCAGTGGGGGATTATAGAGGCTGGCCTGTAGGTATATCCATGTGGCATTGTGTTGTGGTGAGAAGGCCCAGTCCACTGTGGGCAGAACCATTCCCTGAGTTTGGCTCCTGGGCTATATAAAGAGGAGAAAGTAAACTGAATGTAAGCACACATGCATTCTCCACTCTCCTCTTGATGGCGAACTTGATAGCACCAGTTGCTTCAAGTTCTTGCCAGGATGTCCCCTCAAAGACAGGCTGTACTCTGGAACTGTACAAGCTGAAATGAGCCCTTTCTCTCCTTAGCTGCTGTTTTTGTTTGTTTTTGTTTTCTTGGTGTTTTATCACAGCAACAGGAAATGAAGGTCAGACAGTGGAAAACAGAAATCTAGAGAGAGTACCCTCATGGATCTAAGTCTTCCTCTTTCTGTGGATCTGGATTTGATGGCTTGTGAGACCTTTTGCTTTAGATGTGTGGATTCTTGGCATCTACAAGCAAAAATTCCAGAACACTGTGTTATAACAACACTGGACGTGTACCTGGAAAGGAATAGGGAACCTCACCAACCATGTGAGGAGCTTGGTATAGACACTCTTATCCTCATCAGAAGAGCTAGCTATAAGGAGCACACAGGAAGTCACTGCAATTCTGTGGACTGCCCTTTTGCCACCTAACTACTAGTGCTCAGTTGATCTGTTTGAATGTGGAATCTTGGTGGCATAGAACTGGCTTAATGTTTTGAACTGATGCAACATTGATTTGTGAGCTAGGCCTGGGAGATACATGACTGAGCAGTGCCAGAAACTCTGCAGCATACTGAATAAAGGGATGGTACTATAAAAGTGGTATGGGGGCTGAAGAGATGGTTCAGTGGTTAGGAGCACTGACTTCTTCCTGAAGACCCAGATTCAATTCCCAGCACACACACATGGTGACTCACAACCATCTGTAACTCCAGTTACAGAAGTCTGAAGCCCTCTTTCTTGAATTCTACATGCACTATGTACATGGTACACAGACATATGTTAAGATTCAGTCACATAAGATAAAAATAAATATTAAAAAAAAAATAGCATCAAATGGCCAGGTGGTGCATGCATTTAATCCCAGTACTCAGGGTGCAGAGGCAGGTGGATCTCTGTGAGTTCAAAGCTGCCCTGGTCTACAGAGTGAGTTCCAGGAATGTCAGGACTGTTACACAGAGAAACCCTGTCTTAGTAAACAAACAAAAAATAGCATCAGATATTTAAGGAGCAAGCTATAAGCTTTGGTAACTCACCAACTTAGTCATGTGAGGTCCCACTCTGCCTGCCCACCCTGCATACCCAAGTGACTATAAGAACTTAGAGGGCATTTGATCACTGAGAGCCCAGCCAAATCCTCTACATCTTCTATTCTCATCATCTGAGGCACAAAGATGCAGGTCACAATCTTAGGTCACACAAACTCCAGAAGCCCATTGAAACAGAGCAGGGAGATAATAGGCTACCCATCTCCCAAGATCAAAACTCAACAGAGACGATCAATGGTACAAACGGGACCTCACACCTAATTGTAAAACCAACAGAAGAATTCTAATAGCTCCTCTGCTTTACTGTGTTCCCCCTGCAATCAGCTACCCTGGCCACAGCTAAGGTGTCCCATGGATTCCCAACATACAGAATCTCTAAATGTTCACATAGAGATGGAACAGTAGCCAAGTCAGCCTATGGGGAAAATGTCTTTGGTGGGGTGTTTTAAATCTCTTGGCTGTTCTGTTGCTCACTCAACTGCAAGCCCAACCATCAGCCCTAGACTAAGGGGTTTAATGAAAAGCCATTCGGCTTCCGGGAATTATGGGTCTCAGTTACACCTCCATCGTGCCCTATATAATATATTGAAACTGAAATAACCTTAAGGCAGGCAATTTAAAGCCCCCTTCCCAGTCCTGAAGAATTGTACTCACATGCTGACATGAAGAAGCAATGGGGTCTCTGGGGTTCATTTGTAATGCCGAGAACAGCCACTCTGCTGTCATGGGGATTGATGAACGTGCTACGGAATTTCTTTTCTAATAAAATGCTTGGGATTTTTCTTTTCAATTGGAACTAAAGCTGACACTCAGTCTGAGTTGGAGATTTTGGGTGAGGCTTTTGGAGTGGAAATGGGCTTGGAGTGCCCTCCATCAGCTGTGGATGGGGAGCTGCTTGCAAATTTTGAGTCTTGAAGTTTGTAGCAAAGTCTATAGCTTCAACTTTCCCCTCCAGGACCCCAGAGTTTGGACCCTGTAATCATTACTAAATACAGATGGTTCAGTCAGTAAAGACCTGACTTGCAAATATGAGGACCTGCATTCCATCCCCAGAACCCATATTAAAAAATAAATAAATAAATGACAGGTATAGGAGGGTGTGCTTTTAATCCCAGTGCTGGGGAGGTGGAGACAGGAAGATTCCTATGACTTACTGGCCAGCCATCCTGCACTACTCGGTGAGCTCCAGGCCAATGAGAGATAACTGTCTCAAACAACAAGGTGGATGGCTCCTAAGGATGACACCTGAGGTTGCACTCTGGCCTTCACACATACCCAAGTGCATACATCGGAATGAACACACCCTCAAGCACCACTAAACCTGTTGTCGTCTCTGGGAAAACATGTTGGGTTAAAACATAAGTTTTTGTCTTCAAGTCTCATGTCAGTAGACAGAGCTTTACCTTTTCTAGTACTTATGACCCAGAGTAACTGGGGGGGGCAATTTAAGGAGTTTTGATTCTTAAAAAAATCATAGCCAGGCAGTGGTGGCACGTGTGTTTAATCCCAGCACTCCGGAGGTAGAGGCAGGTGGATCTCTATGAGTTCAAGGCCAGCTTGGTTTACAGATTGAGTTCCAGGACAGGCTCCAAAGCTACATAGAGAAACCCTGTCTTGAAAAACAAACAAACAAAAAACATATACTCCAGTTTATACAAAGACTGTATTGAAAACTTTGCACAACAAACTTCTGTTCAAGCATCATTACTGAGCTCATTTCACACCATTAGTGGGAGATGAAGTAGTTAAGTTTCTCTGAATTCCACCACAGGCTGGAAAAAGCCCCTCCCCCACACCACCATCAAGATGCAAGGAGCTCAGATTAAGTGTGAAGTCTTACACAGAAACCCACTACTAGGATTGCCTCCCAAGAAAACATCTAGGCAAATGCATGAGAATGGATGTCATACCATCCCATTACTGCAGATCCAAGCGTCATAGAAAGAGAAAAGCAGGGTCCAGCAAGATTGTTTGACAACAGGGGACTAATGGCAGATGGCAAGGGATGCTTCTGGCAAAGTCCCAGGAAGGGGAGCCTGCCTTACCTGATTGCTGGAGGAAGGTGTTCCAGTTAAAGTTGGCATTTGGTTTTGTTGCAATTCCTGGTGGAAGGAATAGGAAAAGAAAAAAAAAAAGAGCACTGCAATGGAGCGTCATGATCTCCTCAGCACAGATCTCCTCAGCACCTGTGGATGCCTGAGATTGCACTATCCCGCTGGACCACCATTCCACTCTGGGTGGTCCAGACCTTGAGCTCTTTAAAGAGACTTGGAAAGTCATCTAAAACATCAGCACCTTCACTATACCATGCTGTTTAGGTAAAAGTTCACCTTCACTCACAATTCCCAAAAATCAACATTGACTATACAGTACACAGTTGCACTCTCTGTCATGTCATTTCCTCAGATGTATTTTTTTTTTCAATGATTCTTCGAGACAGGGTTTCTTTGTGTAGACCAGGCTGGTCTTGAACTCTGCCTCCAGAGTGCTAGGACTAAAGGCATGCACCACTACCACCCAGCTCTCTTCCTGTAGTTTTAAGTTAAACTGTTTTAGTTTAAAAAGCAAAAAAAAACAGCAAACATTTCAGCCAACAGTGATGGCTCATGCCTGTAACCAACACCTGGGAGGCTGGAGGTAGAAGGATTGCATCACGTTCCAAGTACCAGTAGAAGCCTGGTATGCAGAAGAGGACCTGAAGAAAGGGCAGCAGAGAGAGGAAGGTTGAACTCGTATCATCCAACCACCTCTGACTTTGCTCAGAGGTCATCACTTGCCCAGAAAGTGCTGCTTAGGTACCTTTTGCAAAGGACCTGCAGCCTTAAGACTATACACACAGTCTACACAGACGGTGGTCAAACAAAGAGGTCAAACAGGCTTACTCTAGCACAGCGGTTCTCAATCTGTGGATCACAACCCCTTCAAGGGGGTCAAACACCTTCATGGATATTGCTTATCAGATGTTTACACTATGATTCTTAAGCAAAAGTGCTAGGTCGTTGTGGCACAAATGCCTTTAATCCCAGCACTGGGGAGGCAGAGGCAGGCCTGAGTTTGAGGCCAGCCTGGTCTAGAGAGCAAGTTCCAGAACAGGCTCCAAAAGAAAGCCTGTTTCAAAACCACCACCACCCCCAAAAAAAAAAATAGTAGCAAAATTATAGTTATGAGGTAGCAACGAAGATAATTGTATGGTTGGGGGTTACCACAACATGAGGAATTGTATTAAAGGGGCACAGAGTTAGGCTGAGAACCACTAGTCTAGCAGGATGGGGGCAGGAGTCCAGTTTCTTTGGGCAAGTCATAAACCAAGGCAAAGCCAGGAGAGCACCAAGCCCTGCTCACACTATCTCCTAAACACTTCACACGGTCTCAATGAAAACTCAATGAAGAGCTTGTTTGAAAAATAAGGTAGAGTCTCACATAACCCAGGCTGGCCTTGAACTTACTCAGTTTTGACCTTCTTTCTGAGTTCACCTGCCAAGTATTGGGGTCTCTAAGGCCCCATCATGAAGCCAAGAGGGGCCTGTGGAACCAACACATTAATGCTCCCTACCTTGGCCACTGCACCTGTGTCCACTGAACTTAAAAACCAGTCCCAAATCAGTCTTTGGACACATCTTTCCATCCTCCACCCTCTAGGGCAGTGTTTTTTATAAGGGTCAGTGTAGCTGGCTAAGACAGCCATCTGCCACCATCAGGGGATACTGGTGGGACCGGGTGGCTTGGTGCAGAAGAATCCATGATACCCAGATCAAGGCAACTCTTCATCTCACTTAGATGTTATGCAAGCTCCTGTAATTCCAGCTGAGGCTTGAGTAGGATGACCAGGAGTCAAGGCCAACCTGGGTCAGAGTGTCTCAAAAAAAAAAAACAAACAAAAACAAAAGACAAAAAACAAACCCCAACAACAACAAAACAAACACCAGGTGTGGTGTCGCTCGCCTTTAATCCCAGCCCTTGGGAAGCAGAGGCAGGTGGATCTCTGTGAGTTTGAGGTAGTCTGGTCTACAGATCCAGTTCCAGAATAGCCAGAGAAACCCTGTCTTCAGAAACAAACAAACAAAAACAATAACAAAAAAGAAAAGACAACCTGGGTGTTGGTATACAGAGAAACCCTGTCTCAAACAAAAACAAACAAACAAACAAAAAGACAAGCAACAAATAAAATATACTAGGATAGTGGGTTCTACTCCACTGGTGAAAAACAGGGTCATGTGTATTTCTCAATATAACTTTATAATTTTCCCCATCTATCTTTTATTCTAATGCTAGAAAACAACAGAAAGTTATCCTCTCTGTTAATTATTCTAAATCTCAGACACTACAGTATCTCATCAGCCAACATTCTCTCAGCATCTAGAATATACTGGGGACCAGTGAGATGGCTCAGTAGATGAAGGTGCTTGCCACCAAACCTGACTTGAGACCCACATGGTGTAAAGAGAAAACCAAGTCAGGTCATGGTGGTACTCAGGCAGAAGCAGAGGCAGGTGGATCTCTGAGTTTGAGGCCAGCCTGATCTACAGAGTGAGTTCCAGGATAGAAAGTGCTACACAGAGAAAACCCTGTCTTGAAAAACCAAAAAAAAAAAAAAAAAAAAAAAAAGAGGAGAACTGTGCCCTTAAAGTTGTCCTCTAACTTTCATGTGTGCAGTGGTGTGTACATGAACACAAATGAGTAAAGTAAATGCAATAAGTTGTATATGGTTGTATATGATATATATATATATATATGCTTACCTTGACTCTGGACAAAGATCTTTCCAGTAGCATGTGGCTTTTGAAAGGGAAACAAAATGGGGGAAAGTTAATTTGATGATCCAACCATTCTATGCTTTTTAGAAATCAAGATAATTAAATACCCTTTTGAGAACATCTCTAAGTCACCCACATCGGCTTCTAAGGGATAGAGTTACTTCCACTCCTAATGGATTTTGCATCTTTAAGAAGAACAAAGACGGAAATCCCACTTAATGCAGCCTCATGGGGGCCGACAGAAAGAGAGTTCTGGGGCCAAGGAGTGCACCTGCTGCTGAAGCAGAGAAGGATGGGTACTTTGTCCCTAACTGGAAAAGGGTTTTCCCCATCCCTCGGGACCAAGGAGGAAGAGGAGGAGGGAGGAAAAGAGAGAGGATGGGGAGAGGGAAGGAAAAGGGAAGAGGAAGAGGGGGTGGGGGAAAAGGAGGAGGAGGTGAGGGGAGACCCAAAGAGCACAAGTGGAGGCCAGTGAAAAGGACAGGTTGGCATGAAGACCTGGCAGTGCTCTCAGTGTCTCCAGAGTCCAGACAGAGCAGTGGTCCCCTCTCCTGCTCCTGCCCTCCTTTTCTCCCCCTCCCCTTCTTCTCTTCCCCTCCTCCTCTCCTTCAGTCCCATCCTTCCTCCTCTACCTCCTCCTTTGTGCCATGATGCCAACTGCTTATTCTTTGTGATATTCCCTGGAGAAAGGGCGCAAAGCCACTGGAGGGCAAAGAGTCCAGTTCTCCAGATCCTGGAGTCATGGGGCTAATAATCATTTAAATTACACATCTTAACACAGAGGTCAGAGCTAGAGAGGAACAGGAAATCCTCTATCCCATGGCAGAGGGAACTCAAAGATGCCAACGGTTATGGTCAAAATGTAGTTCTTCTGGAGGCGAACTGTGGGGACCAACACTGTAACTTTTTATCTTGTAACCTAAATATTCTGATGAAGGCTGGAAGAGACATCTGAAACCAGAGGTCACCATCCTGTCATGTGTACACACACACACACACACACACACACACACACACAGGCGCACACACACAGGCGCACACACACATATATGTGGAGGGGCACAGTGTCACCGCTAACAAAGCAAGGCCCTGACAATTGTTGGTTTGGGGAATATGCTGTGGTGGTACAGCCCAGCCAAGCAGACATTCAATGGGAAGATGGGGAGCCAGCCATGGGTCAAAGGAAGGACAACTTCCATTCCAGAACACGGAGGTTCCCTTCAGATTGAGTTTTGCCTCAGCATCACCTTTTTAGTCTAACCCTTTGAATCATTGGCCCACCTAAGCCTTCACTGTCCTACGAAAAACACTGTATGGCAGATCTGGGTGTCCCTGGGGAATACCTTGAAATCCCAAGACTTTAAAGAGGAAGTATTTTTAAAAATCACTTCTCAGCTAGGGAAGTAGTATTATATCTGTAGTTTCATCACTTTGGAGACTAAAAGCAGGAGGATTGCCTCGAGTTTGAGGCCAGCCTGGGCTACAGCAAGACCCTGTCTCAAAACAAAGCAAAACAAAATGAAAATCTCCTATTTAAAGAAGATAATAGAGACCTTTCACAAAACAAACTAAATAAGTGAATGAAGACAGAAAAGTTACCCTGTGGCACCCTAGCCCTCACCAGCACATAAATTTGAAAATATTACCAAGCTCAAAGGCTGCTAGGTAAACCCACAGCATGGGCTGTGGTCTTGGTGGGGGGCTCTCAAAAGCATGCTAGATAAACCTGAAGGGACCAGATCCCCACTCAGCCCCCTGCTTTGGCAGCCATGACAGGCTACAGAAAAGATATGTAGGCTTCTGACTCAGCACATGACACAAAGAAACTCCAGATCCCCTGGCCTCCTGGAGCCTAGGGCCAAAACTGAACACAAAGAAACTCCAGAACCCCTCTAGCCTCCTAGGTACTTGGTTCCTGGGAACTGTTTGGCCACAAAAGGAACTCCAGGGGATACCAAAACCTCCCCTGTAGTCTCCAGGATATAGTTCTGAAAACTATTGGTATCTATGAACAACAGGCCACCTGCAAGTAACAAAACAAAGCCATAAAAACCACAGAATGTTCCCTCTCAGCACTGACCAATGAGAATAATTGGTACACAGGTACTTCATGCCAAAACATGACTTTGAGAAATTCTCCTAATTGTTCTCAAATGTCAACCAATCAGAAACCAACCCGTACCTACTGATGTAATCCTGTAACTTTTGTCTTTAAAACCTAGCAGTAGGACAGGAGGTGGTGGTGCACGCCTTTAATCACAGCACTAGGGAGGCAGAGGCAGGCGGATCTCTGTGAGTTCCAGGACAGCCTCCAAAGCCACATAGAAACCCTTACTCGAAAAAACAAAACAAAACAAAAAAACTTAGCAGTAGACAGGGAACTTCACTCTTTCTGGAGGCTGCTCCATCAGCTAGCTAGATGGGGTCCCTGTCATGGTTGGATGAACAATAAACCTTGCTTTTGCAGTTCAATGGGTCTATCTCCCTGAGCTTTGGGGACCTTCACGATTTGGGCACAACAAACCCTCAGTGTGGGCTGTGGTCTTAGGGGACTTGGTGCTTCAGGGCAGTAACTTTCTCAGGACTGACTTTCCTGCCCATGTCCTGTATGCCTGACTTGTCTCCATAGACCTTGTGCTTTGCCCTGAGCCCAGCTTTTGCCAGGACTCCAAGCCCCTCATCTTCTGGCTCAGGACCTCTCTATATTGGATTCCATTTGTAGGACCATATTCCCATCCCAGGCTTTTTGTTTGTTTGTTAAGATGGGGCCTCCTGTCGCTGAGGCTGACCTCAAACAAGCTAGGTAGCTGATGGTGACTTTGGATCTCTGATTCTCCTTTTCTGAGTACTTGTATTGCAGAGGTGTTCCACCAAGGTTCTGTGGGGCAGGGGATGGAACTAGGGGTTGTGGGGCTGGGGATGGAACTCAGGGTTGTGTGCATGCTACCTACTGAATTACATCCCAGCCAAGTTATAAATGCCTTTCGAGTCTCAGCCCTGAATGTTTTCTTGGTGAAACCCTCCTTGCTTTACAGTGTTATTTTCTGTAATTACAGTGTTTTATACAGTGTATTTTCTGCTTGGTAAGAAATTTTATATGAAAAAAGAGTAGGAGAGGGTGAGTAACCTCCCTGAGAAGTGCCCATCTGTGTGTGATCAGCATTGATACAATGTATAAATGTTATGTGTATGGATAGTGATTTCCTCTAAGCAATTCATAACTATCAGGTGCATTCTTTTAAGAAAGCTAACAATCAGAGCCAGATGGTGGTGGTACACACTTTTAATCCCAGCACTCAGGAGGTAGAGGCAGGTGGATCTCTGTGAGTTCAAGGACAGCCTGGTCTACAAAGCCAGTTCCAGGACAGGCTCCAATGCTACATAGAGAAAACCCTGTCTGGAAAAACAATAATGAACAAACAAACAAAAGCTACGAGCAGGAGTCATTTTTGTAATTTCACACTGAGAGCTGAGCCTTAGATTCTGCATCTACGAGAACTTTTAATATGGTTTCCACCTGCAGAAAGTTCAATGTCAGAAGATCAGCCTTTTATTATATTAACCAAAGAAAGGGAGATATACTTGTAGCTGTGGTCTGGTCTTTCTTTTCCTTTGTCTTTTCCCTTATCTTGGGATGCTTGCAGTCCGGGACAAGTGCTACACCACTGAGCCATGCCTCCACCCCTCATCAAGTATTGTGACAGTGACAGCACCAAGCTAAGCCCCAGCCCCTCCTTGGTGGATTCTAGGCAGGTAGGGGGTACTCTACAGTTGATCCCATCCCCAACTTTGTCATCCCTTCCACACTCCCTTTTCAGTTTTATTCTATAAAATGGGTCTCTTACGGAGGCAGGATTACTTCAGAGCTTGTATCTAAAAGGATGCTGGCTTTTATATCAAATAAGTATAAGTAGTCAAATTAAGTAGTAAGTTCTCACAGGTATTAAAATGGAATCTCAACACTCTCTCCCTTCCTCTTAAAACACCACACAGAGCACCTTCGGTTCTTAACCTTTTAGGTTTTCATTAGATCCCAGAGAAATAGCCCTGAGAGATGAGTGGACAGACACATTCACAATTCTCAAGATACATACGGCCATGTCTATCCATCACAGAGTGCAATTGTCAGCTTAATTAATTTTGGGTAGAAAGGGGAACTGAAAGGGTCATCTTGACTTTTTACACTCGTGTTAGAAAGTGTATTTCTCTAGAGAATGGTAGCAAGATTGTGCTGGGATTAGCACATCACTACACCCAACTTAATTACCTTTCTAGAAATAAAAGTGGAGAAAATGCAGGTTTAAGTTTTGAGCTGGATTCTCTGATTAAAAATCACATTTAAATACATTATCTTTGTAGACATATATATTATCTCCTTTTTAAAAGTGTGTGAGGGTGGAGAGGGAGTGGGAGCTGGAGAGGGGGACAGAGAAAAAACATGTATATGCAGTTCCCAAAGAGGCCAGAAGAGGGCATCAGATCTCCTGGAACTGGAGGGAGATGGTTGTAAACTGCAGCATGGGAATTGAACCTGGGTCTCATCTGTAAGAGCAGCTAGTGCTCTCAACCACTGAGCCATCTCTGCAGCCTCCATATTCTCTCTTTTGAAGCCAGGCATGGTGGTATGGTAGTGACTTCAAAACCTTTAATCCCAGCAGTCGTGAGGCAGAGGCAGGTCCATCTCTTTGAGTTCAAGGTCAACCTGTTCTACATAGTAAGTTCCAGGCTAGATAGGGCTACATGGTGAGATCCTGCTTCAGAAAAGAAGAGAAAAAGAGGAGAGGAAGAAGGAGGAAGTAGAAAAGGAGGAAAGAAACCACAAGAGCACTAGAAGAAGGCCCTGTAATCTTTCTAATCTAGGATTACTGATATTGAATCACACTTTGGTAATAATTAGACAAGATTAACAAGGTTACAGCCTGAGTCAAGCCTGCTTCCAAAACAGAGAATATAAAATTAAAAACCAAAGCTGGCTTTTCCTCTGGGAAGATTAAGACTGCACTGCTCAAAACACATTATCACCATTCACAGTGCATGAATCAAAGTCTCTCCTCCAGAGTCGATAAGAATTCCATAAATACAGCTGAGTAAGAAACCTTTATATTATTTACACATGTTTGTATTTGAAAAAAATCAAATCACATAAAGGTATTGGGTGGAACTTTATTGGAAAATCCACCCATCAATCCTGTACAAAAATGTGTATTAAAAACAACTTCGCTTTCAAATTTAATAACTATCCCCAGCCTTTAAGCTATGAAAACAAGTTAATCTCATCTTTTATTAGGTTTATGCCAGTACCTCCTACATCCGGGACAAAGACATCTAAGCTACCTCACAGTGTTTTTCTTCCTTGATTTTTTTTTAACTTTTACGATTTATTTTTAATTATATGTACATATGAAGACGTGCATGTGTACATGTGTGCAGGTGCCCATGGAGACCAGAAGAGGGCATCAGCTCTCCTAGAGCTGGACTTAACTGGCAGTTGTGAGTGAGTTATTTGTTGTTAATGCTGGGTACTGAACTCAGGTCCTCTTCGAGAGCAATATAAGCTCTTAATTGCTGAGCCATCTTTTCAGTCCTCACTTTTTAATTTAAAAAGATGTGGTTTACATTTATTTATTTCATTTTATGTGCATGAGAGTTTTGCTTCTATGTATGTAACTGTACCACATTCGTGCTTGAAGCATGTAAATGTCCTAGGAGGGCATTTGATTCCCCTGGAACTAGAGTTAAAGTTGGTTGTGAGCTGCCATGTGGGTGCTGGGAACCAAACCTGGGTTTTCTGGAACTGGAGTAAGTGCAATTAACCATTGAGCTGTCTCTCTAGCCCTTTGATATTTGTTTGTTTGTTTGTTCAAATGCCTACTATTTTTGGAAGATCACTGTCCAAGCACAGATCTGGCTGACCCAGAATAGTGTTTACATATATTGGGTAGCATAAATATGGCTTACAGCTGTCTGCAATTCCAGCTGCAGGAGGCTCAGGCACCAGACAAGCATACAATACACAGATAGACAGGCAGAAAAAAAAATACAATTTTTAATTTTAAAAGGTTTTTCATACATTGTATGAAATTCTCAAAGAATTAATTAAAGAAAAGTGTTAAACATCACTAAACTTTTTAAGGGTCTCCACACTGGAGAAAGGCACCCCACAACTGTGGCATACAGCCATGGGCTAATAGACTTCCTCCCTGTCTCCATGCCCTACTGAAAAGACATCAAAAGAACACATACCCAATGCACCTGTGCTGTGTCCTTCATCGCCTCTGTGAAAGCCACCGCAAACCTAGTCAATGGATAGAGATAACAGTCAATTAGGCTGGAATTCAATTAACACAACTCTGAGGCAGCACTTGCCAACAGCCCATGAGAGATGGACAGGGCACAGTTCCATCCACTGTCATTACTCCCGGTCACTGTCCATTAGGCCCCATCTCCACCCGTACCAGAAAATAAACTCAACGATGCTCAAAACCTCTAATTTCTCCTGTCCCTTTCAAATAATGCCAGAAAAAGCAGAGATTAAAAACCAAAGGCTAGAGCAGGGGCAATGGCTCAGTAGTTAAGAACACTTACTGCTCTTCCAGAGGACCTGGATTCAGTTCCCAGTCACTGTGTGTGACTAGCTCCAGGGGACCTGACACTCTCATTGACATCTACATGCCAGCAACACGCACACTAACATACATTTACAGTTTAAAAAAAAAAAAAATAAAAAGCCGCCAGGCAGTGGTGGGGCAGGCCTTTATTCCCAGTACTCAGGAAGCAGAGGCAGGTGGATCTCTATGAGTTCAAGGTCATCCTTGTCTCCAGAACGAGTGCCTGGATAGACTCCAAAGCTACACAGAGAAACCCTGGCTCGAAAAAACGAAAAAAAAAAAAAATCAAAAGCCGCCGGGCATTGGTGGTGCATGCCTTTATTCCCAGTACTCAGGAAGCAGAGGCAGGTGGATCTCTATGAGTTCAAGGTCAACCTGGTCTCCAGAACGAGTGCCTGGATAGACTCCAAAGCTACACAGAGAAACCCTGTCTCGAAAAAACGAAAAAAAAAAAAAATTCAAAAGCCAGAAAACAAAATTTATTAGGTGGCATAGTTAATATGTGATGAGAACTCTGGGGTAAGGGGCACATGACACAGGTGTGTGATCAGGGAATGTTGTGTGTGCTACAGTGCCTACATCTGCCCAAGGGGCCTTCATGATAATGGAAATACCTTACATCTTTTGTTGTTTGTTTGTTTGTTTGTTTGTTTTTCCAGACAGGGTTTCTCTGTATTGCTTTGGAGCCTGTCCTGGAACTATCTCTGTAGACCAAACTGACCCTGAACTCACTGAGATCTGCCTGCCTCTGTATCCCAAGTGCTGGGATTAAAGGCATGCTCCACCAACGCCCGGCTCTACCTTGAATTTAGAGATTCTCCTGGCTCTGCCTCCAGGGTGCTGGGATAAAAGGTGCCCAATGCCACACCTAGGTCCTTCCTTAAGTTGCTTTTGTCAAGTATTTTGTCAAAGCAGTGAAGAAAGTAACTGACATAAACTGTCCTGGCTAGTTTAATGTCAACTTGACACAAGCTAGAGTCATCAGAAAGGAGTGAGTCTTAGTTGGGAAAATGCCTCCATAAGATCAGGCTGTGGGGCATTTTCTTAATTAGTGATTGATGCAGGAGGGCCCAGAACATTACGGGTGGTGCTATCCCTAGGCAGGTGCTATAAGAAAGCAGGCTGAGCAAGTCAGTAAGCAGCATCCCTTCACGGCCTCTGCATCAGCTTCTGCCTCCAGGTTCCTGCCCTGCTTGAGTTACTGCCCTGCCCTTTGATGATGAACTATGATGTGGAAGTATAAGCCAAATAAACCCTTCCCAACTTGCTTCTGGTTATGGTGTTTCATCATAGCAACAGTAAACCTGACTAAGGCAAAAATCAAATATGCATTTCACTGAGTAGCAATAGCAACCATTCAACATAAAGACTGCAGAGCTGAGACTTGCATTACACAATGACACATACCCAAAGTACAATGATTATAACTGTACTGGCAATGAGGATAAGAACAGGTGATCAAAAGTGAACACAAGGCCAGGAGCAGGCTCAAACACACCCAAGAACTTAACACAATGGTACAGAAGAGGTTAAATAAACTGGAAAGTTTCCTACCCTCCTACACAGGATATATCTGAAAAGAAGTGATAATGATAAAATGCCAGGGCTGGCTGGAGAGATGACTCAGTAGTTAAGAGCACTGGCTGCTCTTCCAGAGGACCTGAGTTTGATTCCTAGCACCCACATGGTGGTTTACAATCATCTGTAATTCCAATCCCAGATGATCAGACACCCTCCTTTAAGAACTCTGCACACACATTGTACACAGACGCACATGCAGGAAAACACCCAAATACATGAAATAAAGGAAAAGCATTTTTAAATAAACAATAACAAGTGATACGTATTATTTTTCAAAAAATGGACCCAGAAACAAAATGATCCCAATTTTCAGATACACTTCATTTAATTTCTATATTTATAATTACCAAGTTCTTACTATGTCATCATTCTTAGAAGCTGATAATCTAATACAAAATTAAAATCAAATACTATATTTCATGGGATGAAAGTTTAAAATATGGAAAAAATTTATACAACCGCTTTAGAAAAAATATACCAATTTAAAGTGTTTTGATTAAAAATGAAATGGTCATTATAAAGCCAGAAAAGCCCAAAACTTCATTTATAGAAACATGATCTGTGTGGAGTCAGACAAGAAATCCATGATTCATGTGTCTCTCTTGCCCACTGGCCTCAATCAATAACCCCCAAATAAAAAAATCAATATTTGTTTTAATAACAATGCAATAAATAACCCTAAAGGTATTACTGCAAAATGGATTTGTTCAATAATGTTTCTAGTAAACAGAATTACTTTTCTCCCATAGGGCTGTGCAGCATGAACCAATGTGCAAGAAGTAGTTAGGAATATTCACTAATGGGTCACCTTTTTAATGTGTGTGTGTGTGTGTGTGTGTGTGTGTGTGTGTGTGCACTGTGTGAGTGCAGTGCCTATGGAGGCCAGAAGAGGGCATTTATCCCCTGGAGCTGGAGTTGTACTCCAGTTATATCAGCAACCACCTGATGTGGGTACAGGGAAGGTATGGTGGTTTGAAAGAAAATAGCCCCCCCCAAAGGGAGTGGCACTATTAGGAGGGGTGGCCTTGTTGGAGGAAATATGTCACTGTGGGGACGGGCTTTGAGGTCTTTTTCTGAAGCTTCACTCAGTGTGACAGTCAGTCGACTTCCTGCTAGCTTCTGGTCAGGAGGTAGCACTCTTAGCTCCGGCACCATGGCTGCCTGCATGCCTCCATGCTCCCCGCCATGAAACCTCTGAACTGTAAGCAAGCCACCCCAATTAAATGTGTTCTTTATGAGAGTTGCCATCATCATGGTGTCTCTTCACAACAATAGAAACCAAACTAAGACAGAAGGGAACTGAGGTTCTCTGCAAAAGCAGCAAGTGATGTTGTTGTATTTGTTTTTTGGGGGGAAGTTGTCTGTTTGGGGGGCTTTTTGTTTTTGGGGGAAGTTTTTTGTTTGTGTATTGGGGTTTGGGGGGCTTCTCTGTGTAGTTTTGATGTTTTTTAAGATTTATTTATTTTGATTTTCTGTGTATGAGTGTTCTTCCTGTGTGTGTGTATGTGCACCATGCTCACACATTGCCCATGTAGATGAAAAGGTGCTGGCCACAGCTAGCGTTTGGGGCAGGGGTTCCTGCACTATCTCCACAGAACTAGTGAATGTGTCATCTTGGAGAAGCACCATCTACGGGCAATGCTGCCATGCTCTTGGAGGGTCTCTCATCCTGGATGGCTGGAGTAATGTGTAGATGGAGGACTAAGCCAGGGTACAGAATCCCCGTGGTGACTGTTCTTCCAAATGGTTTACAGAACTCATAAGGTGACACAGACAGGACCCATAGTGAATAGTGAATAGCCAATAGTTACAAGGAAGGCCCTTGGGCTGGGAAACCTAGCACAGACCCGCTTTGTTCTTTTAAATCATATATCAGCCCTGCACTGTGGTGCATTCCTGTAGTACCAGAGCTTGGAAGGTGAAGGCAGAAGCAAAGTTTAACGTCATCCTCAACTACCCACCCAAATACATGAAATAAAGGAAAAGCATTTTTAAATAAACAATAACAAGTGATACGTATTATTTTTCAAAAATAGCTTTTGAAATAGGTCAAAAGACCCTATTTCAACACACACACACCCACACACACACACACACACACACACACACACACACAAAGCACACACTGTCTTCCTACCACACAGAACTTTCTAGAATGCTCTTGTGATATTAACATTAGGCCAGGTGTAATGACTTATTTGATTACAATGAGAATTTGTAGCAAAATAAAACTATATGGAAGGACAGTTTTGTTTTGTGGGCTTGTTGTTTTGAGACAGGGTCTCTGTAAGTGGCCCTGACTGTCTGGGAACTTGCTATGTAGACCAGGCTGGCCTTCACTCTCAGATATCCACCTGCCTCTGTCTCCCAAGTTCTGGAGCCACCATGCCTCACAAGGGCCTTATTGATGGTGAGAGTTTGTTTTCCCTGGTAGGATGGAAAGCAGAACACCCATGGCCTTACCTGGCTTCCTCCAGGACTCTCCCCATGACTTCATTTTTTTCTTTATGATTGGCATCTTCATTTAAATCAGTTCCGCCAAAGATGACCCCAAAAGGAATGCCATGACCTGCAAAATGATGACAGTGCAACAGACAGGACATCATGAGGTGCCCCTTGACAACTGGCCTGCAGTCATGAAGTTCCTGAAACACAGAGCTGTATGGCTTGTCTGTCTGTCTGTCAGTCTGTCTGTCTGTCTTGAAAGACAGCTCTATAGCCCAGGCTGGCCTGAAACTCTCAATTTTCCTGCCTCAGCATTCCCAGGGCAGGAATTACTGGTGTGCACCACCACTCCCAGATATGTGTGTGTGTGTGTGTGTGTGTGTGTGTGTGTGTGTGTGTGTGTATGTGTGTGTGATGTGTATGAGGTGTGTGTGTGTGATATGTGTGTGTGTGTGTGTGTGTGTGTGTGTGTGATATGTGTGTTTATGTGTGTGTGATATGTGTGGGGGCATATGTTTACCACAGTGCTAGTGTAGAAGTCAGAGTGAGTTAGCTCTCGCTACCTCTTTGTGCATTCTGTGAATTAAACTCCAGTGGCAGGCTTGTAGTGAAATTGCCTTTACCTAATGAATCATCTCACTGGCCCCATGTTGTTTTTGAGGCAGGCTGGCCTTGAACTTATGTCCCTGAAGATGACTTAGAACTTTTGACCCTCAGGCTTCCACCCAGGATGGGCCAGAGGTCCGAGACGTCCCAACGAGACTGCCACACCCCATTTATGTGCCTTTAGAGATTGAAACCAAGGCTTTGTGCATTTGGGACAAACACTGCCCATTGTGCCCCAGTCTCTTAAGTGTTGTGTGTTTTGGTGTCACTTATGCTCCTTTCAACTCTCCAGAGGGATCACAGATAGCACTGTTAGAAACCTGCACTGAAGAGCCATTGAGATGGTTCTGCAGATAAAGGTAAATGCCAGCCCACACTTGACACTCTGGGTCCCATCCCTGAGACCCACATGGTGGAAGGAGAAAGTCAACTCCTTTTAAGTTATCCTCTACCTTCCACAAAGATTTCTCCCCAGCATCAACCATGACCATGCCCACCAACACTATGGCCACACCTACCAACACTGTGACCACACCTACCACCACTACCACCACTACACACACACAAATAAATATATAAACAATGAAAAACCCAGAGAGTAATCATGCCAAGTCTTGCCTGTCGTTGTCAGGACTAGTTTTCAGATTAATTTGCTTTCCATTTTAACCACAGAAAAATACCATGCACCACCATCCATCAAAGCTAAGCTCACCTGTCCTGGGAAGAACTTAAATGAGACTGGTGACAAGAGAGGGCCCTGTTTATCACCCTCCGGCCACAGCAGCTCAGGAAGCCTTTGAGGAATGGGCAGTACTATGTAGACACTGATACCTGGAGGTCATCAGGCATGGCCCTCATGATGACCGGCTTCTAGAGCCAGCCATTGAAACTGAAGGACTCTGAACAGGATCTGAGTGGCAACCCTGGCCCTGGATGCAAACACAACATTCTGAACTGCACTTGCCAGGTAGACCTAGCTGGCCTAGAACTCAGAGATCCATCTGCCTCTGCTTCTGGATTGCCCCATCATGTCCAGCCTAAAAGTATCCTTTAATTCAGTTCATCACATATGGGCCATGTTTTTAATCCCAGCACTCTCTGAGTCCCAGATCAGACTGGTCTACAAAGCCAGTGAGATCCAGGTCAGTCAAGACTACATGTTGAGACCTTATCTCAAAATAAATAAATAAATAAATAAATAAATAAATAAATAAATATAACAGTTCGTCACACACTGTATCTGAGATAAAACATGGATGTCATCATTCAGGGTGGAGAGATGGAGTTGGTGGTTGAGAGTATCATCAGCCATTCTTCCAGAGGACCCAGGATTCCTACCAAGCACCTATTTTCAGTTCAACAGTCTTCAGCTCCAGTTCCAGGGAACTGATGCCCTCTTCTGGCATCCGAAGGCACAGCATGCGTATGGTGGAGACAAAACACCCACACATAAAAATAAATACCGGGGCTGGAGATGGTTCAGCAGTGAACAGCCAGCTCTGCTGCTCTTGCAGAGGACCTAGGTTCAATTCCCAGCACCCACATGGCAGCTCATAGCTGTCTGTGACTCCAGTTCCAGAGATCTAATACCTTCTTGTAGATTCTGAGGGCACCTGAGATACATGTGGTACACATCTGTGTATTCATGAAGTCAGAACATCCATACACGTAAAACTTTTTAATCAAAAAAATAATAATAAACATTGTTTTTAAAAGATGTCATCACTCATAACTGATTGTTGTGAGAGACCAGGAAAAGATGGAGGTTTTTGTTTTTGTTTTTCTTTATTTCAGGTAAGAGCAGAAAACTGAAGCTTGGGAGGATTGTCAGGAGCTCAAGCCCAGCCTGGGCTACATAGTGAGTTCTAGGCTAGCCTGGGCTGTAAAATCTAAGACCCTGTTTTCAAAAGCCTGAGTGTGTTGGTGCTCCCTGTAACCCCAGCATTTGGGAAGAGGAGGAAAGAAGACCAGCAGATTAAGGCCAACCTTACATAAATAGTGAGTTCAATGCCAGCCTGGGCTACATGAGACCCTGCCTCAAAAACCCCAAAACAACAACAAAAATGGCAGACAACTGTGGGCCAGGGAGATGGCTCATCAGGTAAAGGTGCTTGTCACCAAGCCTGATGACCTGGGTTCCATTCTTGGGACTAATGGTAGGAGAGAACAGACACCACGAAGCTGTCCTCTGACCTCCCAACATGTATACTGTGACACACACACCCTATGAAATAGATCAGTATAATTTAAAACTTAAAGACAACCAAACTATGAGTGGTACATGATTGTGATCTGAAAACAAAACAAACTAAAGAACAATTATATGGGGCAGAGCATTTGGATTGGAGCCATACCCAGTCACGGGATGTCATCACAAACTGGTTAATCTCCTTCTTGGCCACCTGATCCTAACTTCTTCCTTATTAGGTTCCAGCCTAAGGCATATTCTTAAGAACTCATTAAAGCTCTGTAGCCTACATCAAATTAACTCTCAAATTGTCTGTTTCATATGCTAGTTAAAGCATATGAAAGAGTTCCCAGAATGTACCCTGCACAGTGCCCCAGTTACATTCTCTCTTAGATAAGGACAACTATAATGTTGTCATTAAACACTTGAAAAATAGATTGATTTGTACACAGAAAAAAACAAAAATAAAAATCTTTTACACACAGAGTTCTAAAAAAAAAAAAAATGTAATTTAAGCCAGGTAGTGGTGGTGCACACCTTTAATCCCAGCACTCAGGAGGCAGAGGCAGGTGGATTTCTGTGAATTCGAGGCCAGCCTGGTCTACAAAGCAAGTTCCAGGACAGGCTCGAAAGCTACACAGAGAAACCCTGTCTCAAAAACCTAAAAACAAAACAAAACTGTAATGTAAAGTAATTTAAAGAGTAAAGTGGTGCTGAAGAGATAGCTCCATGGTTAAGAACACTGGCTGCTCTTGCAAAGGAACCAGGTTTGATTCCCAGCACCCTAGGGGGCTCACAAAAATCTATATCTCCAGTAGTCAGGGGGAATCTGACACCCTTTTCAGGCCTCTAGGAGTCCCAGGCACACAGGTGGTGCAAAGACATACATGCAGGCAAAACACTCATACACATAAAATCATACAATTTATGTTCTTGTTGAGACAGGGTCTCTCTATGTAGCCCTGGATGTCCTGGAACTTGGTATTATAGACCAGGCTGCCTTTGAACTCACAGAGATCTTCAGTCTCTGCCTCTTAAGTGCTGAGATTAAAAGCATGCACCACCATGTCCAGCTAAAAACAATTTTTTAAGATTAAAAAAACAGCAAAATTCCATTTATACAAGTCATTATGGTCAAATGTAGATGCAATTAATATACAAATTCAGCTTGGGGTGTCGCTCTGTTGGTAGAGTACTTGCCAGGCATACACACAAAACCCTGGGTTTGATCCCCAGCATTGAAATGATTGCAGGTGTAGGGGGTGCACACCTATAATCCCAGCACTAGAGACTTGGGGGCAAGAGGATCAGGATTTTCATCCTTTGCTATATCAGAAGTGTGAGACCAGCCTGGACTACATGAGATCTTGTCTCAAAATAAGCAGTAAAAGGAGCAAAAACATATGCCAGAGGAAAACTTCCGTGCTGAGAACAGTTAGAAGTTAATAATGGAAAAGTTGTTTGAAGCACCCCAAGCTCAGTGTTGCTTCAGCATTGATTAAATCAGGCATTGATCTTTCTCCCCTCCCTCTTCATCAGGTTTACGTCAGAGAGGCCTATTGCCTCCTAACTCAGAAGCAAACAGAATGGTGACATCTTCATGTTTGTTTGAAGCAGAGGTCAAGAGTGGTGGGATTAAGCATATAAATTCCAAAAAAAAAGAAAAAAAACAAAAAACAAAAAAAACAAGCTCAGTGGTGGTGCCCTTTAATCCCAGAACTTGGAGGGCAGAGGCAGGTGGATCTCTGTGAGTTCAAGGCCAGCTTGTGAGTGAGTTCCAGAATACTCACAGCTACACAGAGAAACCCTGTCTCAAAAATAAAATAAAATAAAACAAACAAACAAACAAAAAACAGCAATTGGACCAGAGTGAGGTGGAACAGGTCCTTGCCTCACCTGAACTTCAATGACAATTTTGTCAGTGCTGATCAAAACAAAATATTGCATAGCCCTTCCGCCTCCAGGCTAATCTAGGAGCTGGTAGCATACACTCACCATGACTTCCACATGGTGGGGAGAGAGAACCAACTCCTACAATTTGCCATCTGGCCTCCGAATGCACTACGGCATGTGTGCTGTGTACCCCCACCATCACAAAAGATAACTATAAATTAATGTAAGAAAATAATAAAATAATATAGAGAAGCAATTGAGAAAAGACACCAACCTCAGGCCTACAGAAATACAAATGTACACCTACATCTACACACAGACACCCCACACACACACACACACACACACACACACACACACACACACACACAGAAAAGAGTGAAGAGAAAGGATGGGTGATGTGTACATATGCTGTTGTGGAAGGGCATCCTCAGATTTATCAGGTGTTACAATCGAGATGCAGAATATGTACGTACATGCCCTCAGTTATGCCATGTGTAGCTGGAGCTATACATAAATATGTGTACGAGTGAGTATAAGCTGTGGCCAAACTCTAGGGTGATCACCCCCTCATGCTGATGTTCAGCTTAGTAGCTGCCCCCTGGATGTTGACAGGACACTGTGGAATTCACTGGAAGACTTTAATTTTCATTTTTTGCGTCCAGGTGTCACGAGGTTGTCCTTAAAACTTACTTTGTACTTTCCTAAGTTGTCCTCAAAATTGGAATCTTCCTACCTCTACTTCCTGAGTGCTGGGAACTATAAGCACCTCCCCGTATGCCTGGCATGTTAAGTGATTTCAGAGGCTGAGTCATAGAAGGGAAAGTAGCTTCTAACTTGGTCTCCCTAAAATGTTCTTTACAGGAGGAGGTGAGCACTATGTCTAAAGCTACTCAAACCTTTGATGGTTCATTGTAATTGTCAAATTGACACAAGGTAGTATTACCTGACCAGAGAGTCTCAGTAAGGGTTTGTCTAGGTCAGGTTGGCCTATGAGTGTGTCTGTGTTGAGATTGTCTTGGTTTAATTGATGTGGGAAGACCCAGCCCACTATAGGTGTTACCATTCCCTAGGCAGGGAATCCTGAACGGTATATAAATATAGAAAGGGGGGCATTCGTAGGAAATGTGCATGCATTCATTTCTCTTGACTTTGGATGTGATGTGACTGGCTGTTCAATGATGGACTGTAACCAGGAACTGTAGGCCAAAAAAAAGCAAACCCTTTCTCTCTTAAAGTTGCATCCCTGTCTTATCATGGCAACAGGGCAATAAACTGAAACACACCACCCATGCAGAAGCCCAGATAGGGAGGAAAGAACCTTCCTGGGGCACAGCTAAAAAAGTGAGCTACCATAGACACAGATGCTCTGATCCAGGGCAACCACAGCTTTGTGAGAGACCCTGTGCTGTGAATACAGGCATGTACCACCGCAGCTGACCTCAGGATGACATTCAAATAATTATACAGTAAAGATATCATCGAGGTTACCAAATTTAGAAAATCGATTAATAGAAAAAATGGAGACCTTGTATCATCTTTCAGTTTGTCTTTGGGTCACAGGGTACTGATCTTGTCATCTGGTATTTTTCAGCATTCCCCCTGTGTGACTTTGAAAGCTTGAGAGGGATACCTTGCAGAAGTCTGCCTCCTCGGTAAAGGTGAAGGGCTAGGGCTGCTTCCAGGTTCTCAGTGGTGATGAGGTTGTCAATGTCAGATGGGCTTTCAAAGTCAAAGGCATCTCTCAGAACGCACATGTGGCCGGCAGCTTCCAGGTGGTCTCTTAATTAAAAAACAGAGAGAGGGAGAAGTTGGACTTGCCATTTTGGTTAAGGCTTTAGAGTCAGTCTGTACTGAAACACAGATGGAAGCTTGAGGTGATGACAGCAACCATCCATTCCCCAGCCTCAGACTGTGGCTGGAATGAAGGCTGATGTAACCACAACTTTGAGACACAGCGAGCTTCTCTCCACATTCAGTGGCAATGGACTACTTCAAAGCTCTGTTTGCACCTAATTCCACTATTTCCTTTGTTCACTGCCCCGTCATTCTACATGGTGCCTGGGATGCATCTTCTAGTTGCTGACACTCATTTCTTTTAAGTTTCTCTATTTCATTGTATGCATATGAGTGTTTTGCCTGCATGTGTGTCTGTGTACCACATATAATGCCTGGTGCCTGTAGAGGTCAGAAGGTGTCAGACCCACCAGAACTGGAGTTCTACATGATGGCAAGCTGCCATGTGGGTACTGGGAGCCAAATAGGACTTCTGCAATAGCCACCAATGCATCCGGGCAGTGATTGCACACACCTTTAATCCCAACACTTAAGAGGCAGAGGCAGGCAGATCTCTGTGAGTTTGAGAACAGCCTGGTCTACAAGAGCTAGTTCCAGGACAAGCTCCAAAGCTACACAGGGAAACCCTGTCTTGAAAAACAAAAACACAAACAAACAAACAGCTTCCAGTGCTCTTAACCACAGAGCCATCTCTCCAGCTCCTGTCACTCATTTATTGAAGAAATATTTCAAGGGGCAGGCACGATGGCCTCGTGGTATAAAGGCACTTGCTGCCAAGCCTAACAACCTGAATTCAATCCTATTATGATTCACATGATGGAAGTTGAGAACCAACTGTTCTAAGTTGTCCTCTTATGTCCATAGTATGCCATGGCACATGGCATTAAATAATTAATCAATAAATAGATAAATATGATTTAAAACAATGTCAAGGCTGTCCCCCAGTATGGGCCCACACCTTGAATTTCTAGAAGTAGGAGTTCGATAAAACCCTTTTTCTTTATAAAGTTACTCAGCCTCAGGTTTTTTGTTACCATAAGCAAGATTGGACTAGCATGGGTCATCTGGTATCCAAATGCACTGTGAAAGCCAAAAGGCCTTGGGAAGAAGCCTGTGGCACAGGGTGAGACTCATCCCCTGTGCTAGCATGTGAATGATAACATCTCTTTGTAAATACATAACATACTAATGGCACTGTGCAAACAAAGCAACCCTGGAGCTGGAGGGATGGCTTAGAGGTTATACCACTGGCTGCTCTTGCAGAGGACCCAGATTCAAATCCTAACACCTATCTGTGGCTCACAACAATCCATAACTCCAGTTTCAGAGGATCTACACCCTCTTCTGGCTGCTGTGGAAACCATACACATAGAACACTTGTGTGTGCATGCATGTGTGCATGTGTGTGTGCAATAATTTTTTATTCTAAAAAAAAGAGTTCTTTTAAAATGAAAAAACAAAACATGAATCTTAGGACTTAAGTGGTCTATACTACTGAAGTATGTTGTATTTTTATTTTTATTAATTTAGGTATTATTTATTTTCTAGTATGGGAGATTCAACCTATGACTTGGCTCATGCTAGGCAAGATTTCATCATTGAATTACATTACCAGAGCCTCACCAGGTTGCTAGACTGGCCTTGAACCTGCAGTCTTCCTGCCTCTGCCTCCCAAGTAGTTGGGCTAACAAACCTGTGTCACTATGCCTAGCTCACATTGTATAAGCTGGCTGTACCATTTTCACTATTCAATTTGATCAGTCACTGTAGGTCAGTAGCATTGCCCTCCCACACTCTACTGTCTATGGGGACAGCAACCCGGGACGAAGCCTGCTGATGCTGCAGCTATTGCCTAAGAGTCAGAATTCTATGTGCTCTGAGTAGAAGTGAGCGACTGCTATTCTAGCTCCCAAAAGCTGTAGGAAATAAGAAGCTGTTGACAAACGGCAAGGAGTCTCAAGTCTGCTGGAGAATGAATGCCTGAGAGATGGATGACCTGCTGGATCCATATGGAAGAAAAGGAAAGGGAGCCTTGTCATGGATAATGAGAGTCATGATCACAAAGTTGTTCTTCATCTCCTAAATGTCCTTTAAATAGCATTGTGACACTCACTGAATGACCTCACAAACATTCTAAATCAAAAAATGTTTAATCTTCATACTCTGTGGACTGAAATTTTACCCTGGTGGCTAGCTGACTTATAACACTTTCAAATTGCTTTGTCCTTATTCCTTCTGTCAGATAATAACTCAATTCAGTAATAAATTCACAAAGTATGTATTATGCCTAAGGAATTGTGTTTTTCTTTCATAGCAAAGGGAGCTGCATACACACACACACACACACACACACACACACACACACACACACACTAAATATATATATAGCGAGAGAAACTTTAATAAATGGTTCATCATTTTCAGTATGAGATGGAACCAATTTGCATATTCATGAATTAATATTAGAAATCATCCCATCCACCTCCACCCAGCAATAGCCCTATACTTTTAAAAGATTTATTTATATGATTTTTAAATTGTCTATATGTGTGCATATGCACCATGTGCATGCAGTACCCACAGAGGCCAGAAGAGGGCATCAGACTCACTAGAACTCTAGTTAAAGGTGGTTGTGAGCCACAATGTAGATGCGGGGAAGTGAACTTGGGTCCTCTGAAAGAGCATTAAGCACTCTTAACCACTTAGCCATCTCCAGAGTCCCTACAGCCCTCTTCTTATTCCATAATTGACAATTCCTATGTTTACAGAAAATAAAAGTTAGCACAAGGAAATTAAAGCCAAGCATGGTGCTGCATACCTGATATCCCAGAACCTGGGAGGCTGAGGCAAGAGGGTCTCTGTGTGTTTGATACGCATCTGGACTAAATAGTGCCTTTCAGGATAGAGGAGACCATGGCACAAAACAATGACAAAAATAAAGGACTGGTGATATATCTCAGCAATAGCGCACTAGCCTAAAATGCATAAGACCCCGGAATTCATCCCTTGAATTATGCACTTTCTTTTTTACATATATTTTAGATTTATTACACATGAATGGGGGTTTGCCTGCATGTATATATGTATTACACCACATGCATGCAATACCCTTAGAGATCAGAAGTGGGTCCTCTGGAACTGGAATTATTGATGGTTCTTCATTACCATGTGGTGCTGGGAACTGAACCTGGGTCTTCTGCTAGAGCAACAAGTGTTCCTTGCCTTTGAGTTATCTCTCCAGTACCATGAATTACACACTTTTCAAGGGTGGATTTTATGGTGTGAAAAGGGTATCTCAGATGGAAAAGGAAGGGGCACTTCTGCAGGAAGCCTTCCCAGATGCTGTTGTAGCACAGGCCAAGTCCATTTCCTGGGTTGTCATCACCTTGCACTTCTCTGTCAGAGGCTCACATATAACTAGGTAATGCTTTGGGCATTTACATGTCAGAACCGTCTTCCAAATGGTCGTGCTTGGTTCTGACAAATAGGCACAGCTCTGGTTGCTTGGCTGCTGGCTTCAGAGTACAAGGATTGCAAGGGTCAGCTCTGCTATGCCTTTGGTACTCATTTGCCAAATGTCTACATGCTGACTGACTTGCAACGTCTGTTACTTAAGACAGCTAAAATAGTCTCTTTACCCACACTTCCCAGGCAGCTATGATTTCCTGAGTCTGTGATATGGTTTGGGTGTGAGACGTTCCCGCAGAAGTTCATGTGTTAAATGTGTGTGTGTGTGTGTGTGTGTGTGTGTGTGTGTGTGTGTTACATCATGTGTAGTCTTTGGGTGTTGACTGACTCATGAAGGCACTGATGTTACTGATGGAGCCATCTATGGGTCATAGCTTGATGGGTTTGGAGAAGAGCCAAGCCCTCCACACTCAGAGGTCTGAAACCCTCATCCTCTGAGTTCTGCTTTGCTCCTCTGACCTCTCTCAGGTGTTCTGTCACAATGATTTTACTACATTCCTCTAAGGCAAAAACCTTTCCCTCACAGATTCTTGCAAAAGTTTTCCTACCTAAAGGCCTGGCAATTGTGCCAGAACTCAGGAGGAAAGTGATAAGAGCTGTGCTGAAGAAAGGGAAAATGATTCCTGGCTGCAGGTGATGTCTTCCCCAGGAGACTTCAGATTGCTCCCTTTCCCAAAGGTACCTCATCTCCCGGTTTAGAGAGAGAAAAAAAAAAAACAAAAACATGTTTTCTCACTAACTTGCCCTGGGTGAGGTAAGAGCAGCTGCCACCCACTGCACAAAGTCCAGCTCTCTCTGTGACAATTCTGGTGCAACACTCTCTGCCCTATGCCAACCTGGCCTTAATAGTATGTGTTCCTGAGAGCTGAGGGCACTCAGCACTTGTCAGCATTTTCCAGAGACCCTCAGGAGTGCCATAAACACTGTGCTCAGTGGGGAACTTCCCAGTGTGGTTTGAAACAAAGGTCAGGAAACTTTTTGTGGTGGGATGTGGGAGCACATGCCTACAATCCACACACTCAAGAGGTAGAGGTAAGAGGATCAGAAATTCAAGGCTTTGCCTAGCATGGGCCAGACCTATTCCCATCATGCTAAAGTTTCAATGAGGTTGAGTAATTAGAACTTTATGGTTCTGATTCCTTTAATTGACTTATCAAGGACAGGTTGTAACTTATTGGGAGCTCACACTGTGATCTCCAAGTCCCATAACATCTTGATGGATGAACAACCCTTTGTCATATCCCATTGTGTTGACTTTGGTGCTATCCAATATTACTAGGAATCATTTACAGCCATTCACTGTTCTGTGAGTCTACAACTTCATCCTAGGGCAATGTGAGCTCATGTAAACCTACCAAGGCCTCTCCCAACCCCCTTAGGAAGGGCACACATTCTCCAAGTCTGCTTCCCCCATAGAAAGGGGCATACACACTTCTGGGTTAATGAGCAAATTATACTCTGTGATGACATCCTTGTACATAATAATAAATTTGGGCATGTTTTCTATTTCATTTATCGATGATCAGTTCATTCCAGAGAACCTTGGACCTTTGCCCACCCATGGAGTCAAATGTTAGCTAACATGTGTTTAATGTTTAAATGCTAATCTTACACACAATCTATCCTTTCCACCACATGCACAAGACAGCTGGATGTCTCTCACCAACCTTCTATATCTTGAACAGCTCCAGTTTTCACTGGCCTCAGGACCTGTGTTATCGTTAGCCCTTCCAAACCTCCCCTCCCTTCTACAGAGAACAAGGCCTGAACCCTATTGCCTGAAGGAGTCCCTCCAACACAAAGGTCGTATTGTTTTGTTTTTGAGATAGGATCTCAAGTAGCTGTCTGAGGATGACCTTGAATTTTGGATCCTCCTGCCTTCACCTTCCAAATGACTGGGGTTATAGGCATGTACCACCATAACTGGTTTATGCGGTGCTGGGACTAGAATCCAGGGATTCAAGTATGCTTGCTTGGTAAACACTCTACCAATTTAGCCACACCCCCCAGCCTGTTTTCAGTTGCTTGATAGCACCAGTCACCCTCTGGAAAGAGCTCTGTCTAAAACCAGCCCCCAGAGAGCCCAAAGAGAGAAAGAGATGGCGGGGGGGTGGGGGG